AATCCTTAAAAGTTTCTTGCAGGCCTCAAGCGTAAAAGAAGTGGAAGGTCAAGAAGTAACGTCACCCGCTCCACCACCCAAGAAGCAGAGAACTGAAGAAGAAACCTAGCCCTTCTACAAGTCCATGCGACGGTACCGAAAAGAAGAAATGAAATCGTTTCAGACTCCAGCATTTAAGAAATACAAGAAAGCAACGCCGCCGCGTAAAGAAATCTTTGGTAAAGAGGAAAACACCACTTACAACGTATCGCAGTAGAAATTCTGCAATCGAGGAGAACGCTTCCAGGGCCAGAGAGTCAGGTGCAAACAAGGCCGCTGTTCCCGAGAACGAAAAGACAGCAGAAGAAACGAAAAGACCACCACCAATAGAAGAAATTCAAGCATGATTCCAGACCGGAAGACGCCAAGACCAGCCGTCTAGGGACAAAACGGAAAAGACAGCAACCCGACGACTACCACTCCAAGAGGCCAGCATGCAGAGGGCGAAAAAGAAAAAGCAACGTGGACGACACTCGAAGGACCCTAAGGAGACGACTGACGTCGATGAAACCTATAACGTGGGAACAGTTCTGCCAGAAGAGGATGTCGGAGTTCAATCATCGAAAACTCAAAGATAAGTTAAAATCTTCTATAAATTTTTTTCTTTTGTTCCGAAATGTTATGCGTAAATACGAAGTTCTATGTTTTGACGGAAGTCAATGTTGTCTCGGTTGAGACTTAGTTTTGATTTTACTTTATTTAGCTAAGGCAAAAGCATAAAAGTATTATTTTCTTTAAGTATAAAATCTAAGAACAAGCAGTTTCTGTTGGTCGAAAGACTAATTCTGTTTATGTTAAAGCCAAAATTTGGCCGAAGATAAAAATAACTTCGTATTCTTGTATTAATAAGAACTTTAGTTTCAGTGCCGCCAGCTTGGCGAAGAATGAGTAAAGTAAAAATTTATTTTTCTCTTATTCATTTTATGGTAAATTGTAAAAATCATATGTATTAGAATTTTGTAAATATACGTAAATGCTTGAAAGTTATGTAAAAGTAGAATTTAGTCTAGAAGCATAAAATTTTAGATGCTAAAAGTAAATGCTCAAAAGCAATGAATTCAAATTTAAGTATTAAACTGTAGATAAAATCATGCTTTAGAGCGAAAGCCTGCATGTCTAAAGATGAAATGAGGGGGAAGTTTAGAATGAATGTGTTTTGTAGGGTTCTCCACCTACACTTGAATTTTAAGAATGTTAAAGTAGCTCATCGAGTTGTAGAATGTCGAGTAAGGTGTGTCTATTTGGTCGTTGAATTCTAACAAATCATTGTGGTTAGGAGAAGTGTTGCAATACTAAAACACGAATATTCCCGTTTGACACCACACATGGTGGAGAGCCAGGGTAAAGTTAAATTCATGTTTGAATACTTGAATGAATGTGAATTAAGCAGTAACTAAGGAAAAAATAAATCGATTCAAAAACAAAAACTTATTCAGTGTCAAGAAAGTGTAAATTATAATGTATTTAGAAAGATACTGATACTTATTCCTTCCAGATGCTGGAAGGAAGAGAAACAGATTGATTGCTGAAGTCCAGGAAAGTTTGCTGTAAGAAGAGAGAATTAAATAAGTATCTACAGAAATTTATTTCTAACCTTTTGTGAAAAAAACAGATTTTTTTATGTAAAACGAGGCTCTTAAATTTTAGTTCAGAATTGTGGAAACTTTTCAACAGGTCGTTTCTAGGACCTGCTTCCAAGTTTTCCAAATTCTGGCAGCGGCAAATGTAGGGTTTATATTTATTTTAACTAATACATTTATTTTAAGTTTAAACTATCTTTCCTGTCAAGCCTTACTTTCCCCTGGAATTGCCAATGCCAGAGTATGTAAATTTTAGTAGAACGCGCAAGTATTCAAAATAGTCGGCGGAAGTATTCTGAGTTAGATAGAAGGGAAACGAGTTCGAAAGTGTGCTTTCTTGCTTTTCACGAGCGTGGAGGTGGCTAGTTAGAAATTGAAGAACCACGCGTTTCGGCCTGTGTGCTTGCCTCAGTAGATATAAACTGGCAGAAATAAATTGCCCACTTTTCTTCATAGCCGGATATGTTACAATACCTGTTAGTCAGGATATTTGAAGTTCTTGCGCATTTTCACATCAGATTTTCATAATATTATCTAGGATTAAAAAAAAAAAAAAAAAAAAAAAAAGAATTCTGATAGCTTTCAGATTTTACATTACGTCCAAAGGGGCGTTTCTTTAACGTTTTGTGTTACGTTTATTTATTAAATATCATGTTCTTTGAATTTAAACCATAAAATTGAATTCAACAGCAATATCACAAAATAGTTTTAAAATGAGCAAAGCTTTAGAATTTCCGATACATAGTCTCGCGCGCAGGAGATAAAAAATGTTTTTTTTTTTCGTGCAGTGTTGCCATTGCTCGCTTTGAAATCGTTGAGCTTGTAAATGAAAAATACGCTTAAGTGTTACAAAATATGAAATCAATAATAAAACAAATTTCAAATTCCAAATGTGGACTTCTAGATGACCATATTCGGTAGAAGATTACGTTATTCAAAACAAAATTTGATGGCTCCAGGTACCGTTGTTTTATCACAATGAGAGAAACGTACATGTATTTATGCAGATTCTTCACTAGTTAATTTCTTTAAATATAACACAGGGCTCTATATCTGGTAGAAAAGTGAACCGACATTTATAGTGAACCAACGCAAAATGCTAAAACGAAATTAATAGCCCTTCTGGGCTAACGCCCTTTGGGTTAAAAAGAAAAGAAAAAAAAAGAAAATGCAAGCTATAATTCAACTTATTATGCATTTTTTTAAATAAAATTTTAATCTTTAGAAATGGCAGCTTATTAGTTCTGAAAATGCTCGTATTGATGGAGAATGGAAGACATTTATTCTTCAGCTCATTTTCATTCAATACTCTCATTTTCATTCATTCCGTAATTATCTCTTAAGAAAATATGATTTATTTGATTTATTGCAATATAAAGGAAGAATTTTTAATCATGTATTTGCATTGCAGAAATGCTATTAGTATAGTTGATGGTAGTTAGACATGCTGTTAGATCAAATTTAAAATGCGTCCTTTTCTTAAAATATACTTTTTCTACTCATATTATTAATTTATGATTTTCCTTTTAATTTACAAACTGCTCGTATTTTGTTATTACCCTTATAGACCTTGATCAATGTTTGTAGAAAAATGATAGTATGTTCGAGACATTAAGGATGAATGAATGCAAATGTTCGAAATATTTTCATGAACGTTAAAATTCTGATGGTAAACTATGCCTTTATTTTTGTACTTGATTTATTAAATTGTGATGTATGAATGGATCTTGTATCTTGTATGAATTATGTAGATTTGCATATTTATATACTTTCTGTGTATAAAGTATTAAGCAAAAAGTCGTCAAAACAAACCTTTTTTTGTCATAAAAGAAATGAAAGTGAAGCAGTGGCACTGAAAAATCGATAAACCATTGCCAACCACGTGTTATTATTCAGGTGTTTTTCAGGTTGTATCAATACAATACAGAGTTTTGTTAATGATGAATTTAAAAAAAATATCAATAATTAATTTATTCATAATTTTGTTTAATAATGTTTTGCTTCTTTTATGTGGCAAAATAGTCAATAAGACATATGCTGGTTGAAAAGCGAATTCATTATTATTTAAAAATTATCAATATTGCAGTTATTTATGATTCTTAAACATGTTTGCTTAAAAAATAATGAACGGAAATAATTTTCGGATGATGTGAAGTTGCTGCAGACTTCAGGGGTTTGAAGTCTCTCAAGCACAGATACACATTTTATCATATCTGGTTTATTCTAGTGTAGATATAAGTTTAATATCAAAATTTTAAAACGAAAATACCAAAATAGCTTTAATTTATTTCTTCGTACAGCTCCTTGTATACGGTAAAATTATTAAATTGTCTAAAGCCTTCCGAACGCAAGTTTGAGTATTATTTTCGAACACAGTAAGTTAAAATTGCAGTTAAAGCAAGGATTTCTCTCCTACTTCATCAAATACATTAATATTGTTTAACTTTGTGAATTTTAGTAATTTTTGAATTTCTTTCTTTTTTTTTTTTTTTTTTTTAATCGTGTAGGATTTACATGCAGGAGTTTAAAATTCCGAAATGGACCTCTGTGAACGATAGAGTGATTCGCTGTCTATTGGCTCGAAACTATGGAAGCAAGTTCGACTCCCACGTAAGGTTTGGCTGTAAATGAGTGTGTATTTTCCTTTTTCTCTCAAGTACAATTTCAGTCTTCTCCCTGCGGTGCACCCAGAAGATATTGAAGATGAAATAACAAATTAAGCAGATGGGTTTGGCTGTTTGTTACGAATGCTTTCGCGCAAGTATCTGGCCTTTTGGGAAAAGCAAATTACGAATTCGATATGGCTTTCCTATTCTTTACTTAGAGGGTGACTGGTGATTCAGAGCACCATGCCATAATCACAGATTGACATTTGTTTGCTGTTTTCGGGGAAAAAAGAAAGAAAGGAAATTCATTTTCGATGTCTTACTTTGTATCAAAAGTAACATATTTTGTGTCTGTGTCTGCCTGGAAGTACGTTAATCGTAAAAAGAATGTATCCAGATTATAAGAATACTATATAGTCTGAGAAGAAATTCCTACTTAGTGATAAATTCACGATATTGTGTTAATTTTAAGTAAAACCTGTAACATGGAATGTATTAAATTTTATAACATTATATTCAAAAATAAAATAATTGATCAAATAAGTTCATTTAAGAAATGCGCATATTATAACACATTTCTCGTGCTCATTAGTAAAAAAAGTTTCTGTAACAGTTCTGTGAAGTATTATTTAACGTTTCGTGTTTTTAACTACAAAATAAGATATTTTAATACATGATTCTGTACATGAAATCTCCCCACCCCGTTTCTGACTGAGAAAATTATGTTCTTATATACAGAAATAGTTATGAGTATTATTATAATGCCTTAACCTACTTGACAAACATGGTAATCCCAGTCGGTTCCATAGCCCTGGCAATCCCTTTCCATGATTTGGAGATATTGAACAACTGTCTAGCTGTGAGGGGCAATCGAGGATCTGGTGCTGGAGGTGTTGGTGGGTCTTCCAGAGGAGCATCCGCTGCTTCGGGCTCTCCTTTCTTCTGGAGCGCCGTAAGCGCCTTGCTTAAGTTGCCGCCCATTTGCTGCCAGTCCGTTTGTCCAACTCGTTACTCGGTTTAGGAGATGCAAACGTCGGGGGTGGAGGAGAGCTGCCGTGTGCGCAGGCGCGCGTGCTTCGATGGTATCTGAATGGAAAGAGCAGGAGGGAAAGATGAAATAACATTTGTGCAGGATCTGCTTTTTTATTCAACGCTAGAAAGAAACTGAATATTTATTCTGTTCCGAAGCGCGTTTATGACTGGGAGATGTGTTTGGATCACGATAGATCACGCAGTTATATACTGCACTCGGGAAAAAAAATTATCTTATCTGTTTTTCAGTATTGGGAAGAAAGCGATCAATATCAGTTTATAACTCAAGATAGAACTTTGTCTCATTTTAAAGCAACTTATTTTGGATAAAGAATAAAAAAAAATTCTGATTTTTATTTTAAAATTTTGATCTTTTGAACTAATTTACAAAATATTTTTATTGCTAATTAAGAATATTTATGGCAACATAATATCATTACTATTATATGAATATTCATATGTAAACAAATGTTGAGAAATTTCAAATTAAGATGATGTAAATTATTAAAGTTGCGCAGTATGCTGCGAAATTAATTAATTAATCAAGTTATATAATCAAGTTATAAGTCAGAATTGTATCCTGAAACAGAAAAGAATTAAATTCAGAATTAAAGTAAAAACATAAACATTTCAAAGTTGAAACAAAAACAATTCTATAAAATAACTGAAACTGATATAAAATATGAAAAATTAATGAAAACTCCTAGAACTTTCTCAAGAGCAGCCCGAAGAATTTTAAATAAAGCTATGGTTCTGATTTATACATGTATGACTGTTAATAATGAAAATATTAAAAAAATTAAGAAATAAGAAAAAAATTAATTAACCAAATTAAAAGAAAATGCCAGTTAAGATTAGTTTTGTTGAAATTAAATTGCTTTAAAAGAGCAATAAGTTTTTTTAGAAAATGCTAAATTTTATTTTATTGAATTGTTTTTGTTCCAATTTTGAAATGTCTATGTTTTTGTTTTAATTTTGATTTGTGTATTTCTTGCTATAGGTTTGCTCACCTTTCCTGATATCATTTTGATTTAATTATTATATCTTGATTTATATGCATATGCACACACACACACACATATAATATACTATATATAAAATCATTTTCAAAGTGAAGTAAAAAGGAGGCAAAGAATTAAAATTAAAATTAATGCCCTAAATAAAGGTAAATCCTATCTCCTTGAAGTTTATGAAATCACCGAATTACATTATTAAACAGCAAACTTTTTTAAAAAAATGTGAAGAATTCAAAAACAATCAATAAACCTACTATGAAAGCGTACTCGAAACTTTTATTAAAATAGTACAGAATGCCATACCAGTGCACGAAAAAAGGATATTAATCTTCTTTGTTTAACTCTTCAAACAGAACTAGTCGAGGGAAAAGTGCTTTGAATACTTAAACTCAATTGATTAATGAGTTCCGAATGCATGTTTCGTTCCTCTAAACCATTTGAAACTTAAAACCGCTTTTGCAATTCCTTTATGAAAAAATTTAAAATAATTTTTTAAGTGAGTCTCAGATGAACTCAAATCTTTCTGTTACATGCTTTCGTAAAACTAGCAACAGTAAAATACAAATCTAAAAAGTAGTATAAAAACTACTGAAAAAATAAACGTAGAAACTAATTATTTAAACAAAATTAAAACCGATAAAAATTGATCAGTCAAAAGCTTCAAAATTAAGGAATCGTAATTAAGAACAATGAAAATATGTCCACTTGTCTAATTACAAAGGCACAAAACAGGACGATCTCAAATACGAAAAGGGATTAAATTTTACGGTGAAAACGTTGCAAAACAGCTAGAGAGGTAAAACTATTTCAAAAACAAAAATGCAGCGTGTTTCAAAAAGAATATACGTTATTTCGAATGCATATATTTATTAAACTGTATGACATACGAATATGAAACTTTACACACATACATATGTACGAACCTGTTAAGTGCAGATTACAGATATTCAATATGTCCTCCATCAGCGACACAAACAATATCACATCGATACTCAAACTCCTCCCATACTCGGGCAAGCAAATCCGTCGTCACTAGTGTTATGACAGTACGGATCCGGTTCTTCACCTCTTCCAGATTCTGTGGGAGTGGTGATGCATAAACGTTGTCTTTAATGAAACCCCACAGGAAGAAGTCACAGAGTGTCAAATCCGGTGACCGTGGAGGCCAGCGGAGACATGTTAAGTCGCCAGCTCCTTGACGACCAACCCAACGGTTCGCTAGAGTTTAAATCAGATAATCACGCACTTGCCGACACCAGTGAAGGGGTGCCCCGTCTTGTTGAAAAATGAACTTGTCTTCGTGCAGCCTCGGAAACAATCAGTTTTGTAATATAGAGAGATACTGGTGATCGTTAACCGTGTTTTCATTAAAGAAGAATGGGCTGTAAACAGATGATCGGGATATCGCACAAAACACATTGATTTTGGGCGAATCTTGTGCATGTTCAATGGCTGCATATGGGTTCTGTAGGCTCCAAATTCGAACGCTGTGTTTTTTTACATGACCACTAACATGAAAAGTCGCTTTATAACTGAACACGATACGTTGTGCGAAAGTGTTATCATTGTCAATAGCACCAAATAATTTCGTTTCAAAATGCCACACGTCTGAGTGTTGTCACGTTTTTGTCATCAGGACGCAGAGCCTGCAACAAATGTAACTTGTACTGCTTCATAACCAACCGACGTCTCAAAACACGCCAAATTGTTGTTGTAGGCAGTTGTAACTCCCAATTGGCACGACAAGTTGATTTTGAAAGACTACGTTGGAAAGCAGTTTGAATTCGTGCAACATTTTCGTCGGGAACACGACGGCGGCTAGGACTCTTTCATACATACACATCCTGTATTTACAAAGTGTCGATACCATCTGCGAATGTTCCACCCATTCGGAGGATCACAACTTGAAACGTCTTTGCACTGTAATCACGAAAGTGAACTTCGCAAACTCGAGAACACAAAGTAATTTCTGCTGCAAAGTAGCCATTTTAAACATGTGATAGTTACCACGCAAACCAGAAGACAACTGACATCTAGCGGCTATTAATATAAACTAGACTATGTATTCGTTTCACCAATAACCGAGCCGAGGCGCAGTGATCGCTAGTTTGGATACCATCATAGTTCCACTTCAGGCAAAAAATAAATTAGGTGGGTTTTCAAATTATGATAGTTTGGTCAAGCATTTTGTTCAGTCAACATTTTTCAACCTATGATATAAAAAAAAAGCACTTTGACGTTCCCTCGCTCTGATAAGACAAACAACACATACAGGAAGAAAATTTTATTAAGAGATATTAAAAGTAATTCTGTAGGAGATAAAATTAATAAGAAATGATATAAAATTATTGAATAAAAAAAGCAAAATATTCGCATTACGCTTTATAAGCTAAAAGCAAAAGTTTTATGATTCTGGAGACCAGAAATTTGAACATCTTCCAAGATCGAGTGAGCTGTCACATAATCATTATTTATTGTAGACTCCTTTAGTAAACAACTGTATGAAATCCCTTTATGATGGGTAGGAGAAAAACAATATTCTGTACACCAAGAAGGGAGAAGGGGACGAAAAACAGCCCAAAACAGTTTCGCTAGAAATAAAGGTAGGTTTTTACAATATACAGCGCATTACTGATACATTTTACAATAGAAAAAATGCATTATAATGAGTACCAAAAACAGTAATGGTGTCCACTAGGGCGAGTCCTAAATTATCTCAAATCCAAATCTTAAAACGTTTTTAAATCGCTCGAATGATTCAACTAAGTATTCTTATTTGAAGGATTCCAACGATGAGAGGAATAGAAAAAGGGAAAAAAATACTCAATTAAAATTTCTAAATATTGTAAAATCTGAAAACTAATTTTAAGGAAAAACAAATTTAAGAATACAGTTTAAAAAAAAAATGGCTGTATTTATTTAGGAAGAGGCAAAGGAAGTTTAATAAACAAACTGCATAATGAACTTTAGGGTTTATATTCTTACCTTAATTTAGCAAAAAATACTTGAAAGTTCAACTTTCAGTTAACATTAGATTTTAATTTAATATTACAAATTTGAAAATTTTAATTTAATATTACAATTTTGTAATCAAAATTACAAAGAAAAAACTGAAAACTTTTATAGACTTAAGAAGTAGATTTTATATTACGCCCAAAGGAGCGGTTGTTTTAACGTTTTGTGTGTTACCTTTATTTATTAAAGGTCATATTCTTCGCACTTAAACCACATAAAATTCAGTTCAACAGCAATATTACAAAATATTAAAAAAAAAAAAAACATATGTTTAGAATTTCCGACAGAGAGTCTCGTGTGCTGGATCTAAAAATGTTTTTTTCCCCTACAGTGTTGCCACTGCTCGCTTTCAAACCGTTGAGTTTGTTAATCAAAAATTCGTTAAAATTCTACAAAATAATATATAATAAAACAAATTCAAAATTCGGGCTTCCATGTGCCCATATTCGGGTGAAGGATTACGTTATTCAAAATTTCATGACTGTAGTTACCGTCGTTTTTTCGCAATGCGAGAAAAATACATACATTCATGCAGATTCTTTATTATCTAATTTCTTTAAATATAATACAGAGCGATAATAGTTGGGGCAACAATTTAAAAAGTGATATGCAAAATGCACCGATAGTGAACCGATGCAAAATGCACTTTCCAGACTAATGGCTCTCCTAAGCTAACGCTCCTTTGGGCCAACAAACATAGCTGAGTATTTCAACTGTGGGGCAACTGAGCCCAACGCAATGTGCTAAACTTAGTGTTTTCACATCATGAGATGGGCAACTAGAAGTATCCAGTTGTTGACTGTCTATGTCCAGAAACACTGAGATGATTCAAAAATTGGTTTTGTAAATTTCCGAGGAAGACCAGCATGCCATTGCTTGGAACTGAGGAATACTTCCTCGATATTTGAACAGATAGTATATTTAAATAATCGGGAATTTAGAACCCGGTGAAGTAGCATTACTGATCCAGATAAAATTTAAATTGAAACAAATGTTTTCTCTTTTCAATATACGTTTCTGAAA